AAAGAATTAGTGCCTTCCGCTGATCATATTCCGGAATATTAAAGAAAGCGCAAAGGTTTTTTTTCAAATCTCTTGTCGCGTAATTTAAAAGCCAATTAAACGTCATAAATACAAAAAGACAGGGGCACCCAACGAGAATATAGTTCAAAACCACTTAAACATAGCATTGTTAAACGCATTTTAGTATATATTTATAGGTATATTTTCATCCCCTAAAAATTTTTCATCTGTTCGGATTTCCTAGCTGAAAGTCTAGTGATCCGAAAATTTATATAGGGATAAAAACTTACCTTTTCGAAAATTTCAGCCAGAAAAAAGGCTCCCGAAAATTCTAGGTGACCTTTTTAGGGTAAAAATCCGTTAGAAATGGGCAATTTTACCATTTTTTAGATGTTCGAAAATCCTAGGAGAGACAGGCAAGCAAGAAATTTTACAACAAATGTTTCGAAAATTCTAGATCTCAAATCGTCTTCCGAACAGATATTCTTCCGAAAATTGTCGTTGGGTGCCCCTGCAAAGATATATTTTATTTCAAGCAGAGCTCTAGATATTGCAATGAAATGAACGCCAAAGTAAGTGATTTCTACAGTTCTTTCGGTTTATTCTTATTCGGAATACCGGCAATCGAACGTACCCTTAATGTTAAACATCGTTTAAACTCTGTATTAATAACTGGCCCACAAGGCTGGCATTACTTTATTTATAGGGAATTACTCTCTTGTAACCGGTCATTTTTATGACACCACAAGTGCATCCTTGCAGCACCTAAATTTCAGTAGCTTAGGGATAAATATAAGAAAATTATGTCCAGCAGTTAAGATGTTGTTATTGGAATGATATTCCTTTATCTATGACGTGAAAAGACAACTAAAAGTTGTTTAAATAGCCCTATAGTACTGTTAAATTGCTCAGTATTAATCATCGCCACATCAACCCTTACTGTTCTATATTTTTAGGGTACTTACCTTTTTTACTCTCTCTCATATATTTCATACTCCATATACTTCTATTTTTTCTCTTTTATCCTAAAATAAAACTGTAATTTAATCAAAGGGCATGTAATTAGTTTTACCATATCTCGCACTTCTCATCTTCAAATCTGTAATATGATATAAATGCCCTGTAATATAAAATAAATGGAGAAAATAAATAAATAGGATAAAGACATGAAAAATACTTTAAGGTCATAAACTACCTTTTAAGATCTTTTGGCGCATTTTCATTCAAATTGATCGATACAAAACAAAAGCCATGCTACCCAACAACGAAAAGTTCCATGAAAAAACGCAGCGTCTTATATTCAACCTGCGGGAGCATTCGTTTCCTAGGAGACGACTTTTTTAACAAATGAATAAGTTTGGGACAATTGTTAAATAGACAATTTCAGTTGGGAAATGTTGCCTTCAATGTAAATTTCACTTGTTCATTGAACATGCTAAAAGGTCATCTACCCATGCAAGCAGCGTTATAACGGGAGCAATTATGAATTTTACAATTTAGTACAAGAGAGACCATCGCAAAAACTTTAAGAGCTGACTTAACACCAAAAAGTCCACGTACAGGTAATGTATGCATTCACTTTTTCTTTACTTTGACGATATAACAAGGAATGGTAGCTACAGATGATCTGATTGTGGTGCATGTTTGATTTAAAAATAAACAGACAGATTAGGATATATGATTATCAATTTAGATTGAATTGGCCAATTATAAGCGTACTTTAATTCTTTTAGCATGGGTGAGCTTGTTTAAGAAGAAATATCGGCTGGGAAGACGTAGCGTATGAGTTGACCCACAGATCTCGCTGACAAATCATAGGGCCTAAAGCATCCGTAACAATAAGCGAGCGAGGCATCTTCCTTCTCCGTCTGTTTTTCCTTCCCATTCTTCACCACTTCCCATTGTTCACCGCTTTTTCCCATCACACCCCATTCGCGCTTCTCGCGAGTCCTTGCGCCCCGCTCAGCCTTGTAAAAACCTTTGGAGGAAGCGGGAAAACTATAGCCTTCCATTTGGAGGAGTCGCGAGAATTCACCCGAGAGGCGCACGCGAAGGGAAAGCCCTGGCAGCTTCGCCGCTTGCTCGCGCGTTCTCGGGGCTCGCTTCACCTGCTCGCAGGCTAGGAGGACTACTGACGAGCCACAGTGGGCCGCCTTCGCTTCCTATTTTATTATTATTTTTTTGCTCTAATTTTTTGCTCGTCGCGATTGAGAACCTGAAACAAGCTAACAAAGAATGACTACAGTTTCTTAAAAGAATGCTCTAAAGTTTAAAATTTCTAAATAAGCACGCTATCATGTTTATAAAATATTAGGTATAATAATGCATGAGAAGAGGGACTGAATGGGGGTACCTCGATAACACTAAACTCTTCATGTTTGTTCATGTGGCAAACCATGACAGGTTTATGAAATACCAACTTATTTCAGTGTGGTTACTGGTTACTCAAATTGAACAATGGTAATGAAGCGCGTTTAAACACTAGGCGTTCTTCTTCTTCTTGTTCTTCTTCTTACAATAATAATAATAATAATAATAATAATAATAATAATAATA